AACTGCATATCTACCATAAGTTTCACTCCATACTGCATCCTTTTTCGGTACAACTCTTTCATCTACCAACGCACTTTACGTTTATGTTTTTTCTTCTTTATAATACTGTGAATTACTATAAACGCTGCTGCTGCTCGTACACGACTGGCCTGCATGTTGAACGATCGAACACTGGAACAGTTGCCACGCGCGCTTAGTTGATATCATTTAAATATTTGGACTCGGCGCGGGTGTTCATGCCGCGCGCGACAGGAGCGCATAATGGATACACGGCTTAAAAATGCCTTGCTATTTAGATTACTGGAGCACACAATTAAGATATGCATCTGTTGCAGATATAATGTCGTTAAAAAGTACCAATTAATTCGCAGCTATATACATTTTGTTGATAGCAATGAAGAAAGTTTGGATAGGTTTCAAAAGCTTGCTTTCGGCTGTAGAAGAAAATCAATTCAGTATTGATGAGATGACTCTTCCTTACAAAGGTAAAAAGACTGGCCATCGTCGTCAATACAATGCGAAGAAACCTAAGAACTGGGGTTCAAAGCATTTGTCATATCTGGTGTGTCGGGTTACATCTTCGATTTTTTGCTATATGGTGGCGACGATACATTTCGCAACATACAATTTACGGTAGAGAAGAAACTTTGCGTTTTGGAGGTAAAGTAGTTGTGGCACTGTATTAATCTATCAAAAACAGACCGTGTTTTGTATAATTTGATAACTATTATACGTCCCTAGAGCTGGTGGTTTATTTGAGAAATGAGCTGGGAATATTTAGCCTCGGTACCATCAAATCCAACCATTTACGTGGATGCCAAAATGTAATTGACGACGATAAAAATATGAAAAAAAAGGCCGCGGTTCATTTTCACAAACGGTCTGCAACGAAAATAAAATTGCCGTTGTCAAGTGGTTCGACAACAAACCGGTTACTTTAGTAATCTCATTTGCAGATTCCTATCCAGTTACCAAAATAAAGAGATATTCAAAGGATCACAAAGCCAAAATAGACATCGATTGTTGGCAGACATTATAATACACACATGGGGGCGTAGGTTTATCTGACATGCTGATAGCTCTATATAGAACCCGAAGATGGTACATGGGCATTTTTGCCCAAATTCTAAATATTAGTAAAAATAACGGTTGGTTATTGTATCGACGACATTGTACACAAAAAATATAAAGAACGTGTTGAGTTTGAAAGACTTTCGATGTCACATTTACTTCTCACTAATTTCCCAAGAAGTGGAAGAAAGGTCTGATGAAGCGGGACCTAGCCTGAAAATAAAAAAACCGGTTAAATCCCGGCCAATTGATGAGATAAGGAATGACGGTATTTGTCGTCTGCCTAACCTTGAAAGTAGAGGACGTTGCAGGGTATGCAAAGATGGACAGTCCACTGTGATGTGCATTAAATGTAATGTGCAGTTATGTCTAACGAAAATTTGAAACTGTTTTTACGACTTATCCCTAAGTTGATTATACATAATGTAGGTATAAAGGGTGGTTTAAGATGAAAGACTTTCATGCGAAGCCAGAAAACAAAATCCGTCGGCTACTCCAATAGACTTGGGGGCACCCCGACTCGGATGGGTCAGGTTAGAAGCAGGCTCCCTCGTGGTTTTTTTTTAAGCCACCCAGATGTGCGAGCCCCGCCTTGCAGGGCTCCGTCGACTTTGCCTGAGGCGGCATCCCCCCTCCTGCGGCTTGATTCTAAAGTTATACCCAAACGATCCGAAAAATCTTTCTTAACCTAAATTTTTTTGGGGGATGTGTCCAGGAAAACCTAATCCTGTAGGCATAAAAGCATTTGTCTTAGCAAATCCAAATGGAACTGTGTGTGATTTCCAAGTTTATCAAGGGCAAACGACCTTTTCAGACTATGCTGATACACCTTTTGGGTTGGGTGAAAAGGCAGTATTAACATTGGCTGACCAACTAGTACCAGGACATATACTTTATTTTGATAGATTCTTTACCTCAGAAAAGTTATTTGATGAACTTGAAAAGAGGTATCAAGGGGACGGGAACTATTATGAAAAATAGAATACCATATGATGTGAGAGAATCAATAATAAGTGACAATGAACTAAAGTCTCAAGGAAGAGGAAGCTTTCAAGTTTTGGTCAGAAATGATAAACGTCTTGCACTTACGAAATGGTATGATAACAAACCAGTACTGTTATTGTCTTCTGTGGAGGCTGATGTTGAGGCTGATGAATGCAAAAGATGGTGCAAAAAAGACAAACGTTATGTAATTGTGCCAAGACCAAGAGTTGTTAGGGAGTATAATATAAAAATGGGAGGTGTCGATTTAGCCGATCGCATGTTGGCTGTTTGCCCTAACAGATATCGTACCAGAAATTGGACACAACGATTTTTTTCACACATGATTGATTTAGCTGTTACAAACTCCTGGTTGCAGTACAAAAAAGATCAGGTAAAATTAGGAGTTCCTTCAACAAAAATACTGCAACTGCGTGCCTTTAAAATGGAACTAGGAGAAATGCTCATTGAGTCACATGCTTTCACAAATTCTGAACACGAAGAACCATCTGAAACAGAAATAGTTTCAGCTAGAGGAAAGGGCCGACCTTGAACGGTTGTAGTTCCGGGCGTTAAATTTCGTACGCATGCAGCTAAACACCTCCCCATGATAAGTGATGGTAATTCTAGTAGATGCCGTCACTGTCATTACAATAGGACTCTATTCAAATGTATGCATTGCAAAGTAAGTTTATGCCTCACGAGATACCGTAATTGCTTTTTTGATTTCCATCAGGATGGTTAGTACATTTATCATTTTCATGTTTTTTGTAAACAATATTTACGTTAGATTTTATGTGTGCGTAATTTTTATTATTTTTTGTTATTAGAGAACAATGTTTATGTTTTGAGTCTTATTTGGTGTTTTGGTATGTTTGGTTATAAGTTGATTCTTTTTTTTTCTTTTTTTCTTTTTCTTTCTTTCTTTATTTTTTTGTTTACTGGGATTATTTTTTCGTTTATTATGTTTTTTTTTTATTTTAAAGGCAGTAGTTTCAGTAACTATCACAATAATACGAAGGTGGTTAAATTTAAGAGACTTGTCTTAAAGACTGAATTCAATTAAGGATCTCAATGTATATGATTATTAACGTTACGAAAAATAAACAAATTGATTCATAAATATTCTTTTCTTTTTATCTTTTTCATATAAGTACCACCCAATGTGCATTTAAACGAACAAAATAAATAACCTCTAATAAGCCTAATAAGCCAACCGGAACTTCTCAAGCACGAGCTAATGGATTTACAAAAGAAAGAATGGAAGAATTTTACGACAATCTTGAAAAAGTCCAAGATGATAAGTCATTCCCTGCTGCACGCATATTTAACGTTGATGAGAGTGGTCTTTCCATAGTCCAAAATAAAATACCAAAAATTATAGCTCGAAAAGGCAAGAAACAAATTGGGGCAATGACGTCAGCCGAAAGAGGGTCCTTAATAACTATTGTAGTTTGTATGAGCCCTGCAGGAATATTTGTTCCGCCCATGATAATATTCCCGCGTAAAAATATGTCTGATGCTTTAATGCGAGGAGCTCCAGTTGGTTCTATAGGAAAACCATCGGGGTGGATACAAACCTACTTATTTACGCAATGGTTTCAACACTTCTTAGATTACGTGAAACCTACAGGGGCATCCCCAGTGCTCTTGATTCTCGATGGACATTACAGTCATACCATAGTCATTACAGTCATACATTATGTGACGATCCTGTCACTACCACCTCATTGTACGCATAAAGTTCAACCGCTAGACCGCACTTTCATGGGACCCTTAAAATGCTACTATAGTGAAGTAGTTCGAGTGTTTCTCAGAGAAACTAATAGACCCATAACACCATATGATGTTGTTGAGCTATTTGGAAAAGCCTACATCAAGTGCCAAACGGGAGAAATTGCCTCTAATGGTTTCAGAGTATTTATCCATTTAATCAAAAATATATTTACTCAAGCTGATTACATGGCCGCTGCTGCAGATTTTCAAGAGGAACAAAACTGTCAAACTATTTCAACGACGATCGCCTCCCCCACGGTTGTTTCTTTGCCATTGGAGAATTTTGATGACACACAACCTGGACCGTCAGGTAGTAGAACAGAAATTCATTCCCTTGTTATTCACGACACAGAGCCAGGACCGACAGGTAGTGGAACAGAAATTATCTCCCTTGTTATTCCTGACACAGAGCAAGGACCGTCAGGTAGTAGAACAGAAAATCACTCCCTTATTACTCCCTCTCATATTTCTCCCGTGCCCAACAAAATAAAAAAGAATACTAGCAATAGAGGCCGTAAGCCAGCAAGATCGGCAATAATCTCAAGTTCTCCTTATAAAAAAGACCTTGAGAATGCACAGTTAAAAAAGTCTGATAAAGAAAACAGATCACATAAAGAAAATATTAAGGGAAAAGGCAAGAAAAAATAACAAAAAAGACAAAGAAAAAAAATGTGACAGAAAGTGACTTATCAGATCCCGATCCTGGGGTTATATCTGGAAATAACACTGACTCTTCCGACGGTGCAGCGACAAGAGATGAGACTGCAGTCCCTAAGAAGACGCCGAATGTTTTTTCTGTAACGGAAAATATAGCGAGGATAAAGGGGGTGAAGAATGGGTACAGTGCTTAATGTGCGAATTATGGGTTCACGGTGCTTGTGGTGGTTATGAATCCGGTGTGTATATTTGTGATTACTGCAAGAATAGTAACTAAGAATAGTAAACTGTAAGTTCAAACTTAACACGATCTCTGATTATTAGGCTTGCCACCCGTACTTTATAATAAAGTATTGTACTTTATTTTGGGTAAACGTACTTTATACTTTATGAGCGCAATAAAGTACGTGAAAATACTTTTTTTTACCTATTTTGACTTTTGAAGGTTTTATTTAATTGTTTACTAAAAGAAACAAAAAGGTCAAGCGATTATTTGCGTTAAACGGAACGGATCGCGTCGATAAAGTTAAATGCTGAGCAGCACTATCGCTTTTGAACGTAACCCTTTGACGTAACCTAAAATGTCAATGTCAACTTGTCATTTTTTGCTTTGTTATTTGAGGTTAAAACAAAAGTTCAAATATCATTTTCCGTTCTTGGTATGTACATTGTGATAATTCTTCAGTTATGGATGCAGATAACTGTATCTCACGAAATACATCTAAAAAACGATTACTGGAATCGGACTCTGACTTAGAGTTGGACTGCTGTAGTGACTCTGACTGCAGTATACCGAAAAAATGCTTAAAAAAAATGAATACAAAGCAAACAAAACGAAGGCAAAAGTACAAAAGTCTGTGGGAAAAAGAACATGGTGCTTGGTTAACCAATGACCCTCAAAATGAATATAATGCGAAATGCAAATTATGCGGAGTGATTTTCGCTATTGCTTCAGCTGGAATAGGACAGGTTAGTGGAAAAAACTTAATCTAAGGTAGATGTGTGTATGTGTGAGTATAGGTGGGACAAACGAGCATGTGTTAGATAATTATATACGAGATGAGTAAAAATAATAAACGGACAAAGAATCAAACAATTTATTAAAGATTAGGAATAGCTATTTACTGGTGTGTGTAATAATATTCGTAATTATTTTATAAGACAGATGAGTCTAGCAATTTATTAATTTTATAAGCATAACAAGATAACAAAGACTAAAGGAACGTTATAGGTAACAAATTAAGGCACATTACACAAACATATATCATAGACCATACATTGTGGATACATGGTTACACAGGTACATAAAACATATTTAGTACATAAACAAATATATTAGGAAATCACAAAGTATAACATAGAGGTACTTAACTGGTCCGTTCGGCGTGGCTACTCTGAAGCGAATGAGCCGAGTATGACCGGGCAGTGGTTTTAATGTTCAATCGTAAGGAAATGACGTCACATCGTATGATTCATTTACAAAGTTAATATTCGTTTTTATTATAAACTATGATTATAATTATAAAAATATGTTGAAAATAATTATTCAATTGTATATTTGACCCTATAATGGCATAATCAATAATCCAGTAAAATAACCATTTTGTAATTAACAGTTAAATATGTAATATACACAAAGCAACAATGAAAAGACTTTCTTTCGTTATATTTCGATAAGGAACTATTAAATGATGTACATCACATGTAACAAGGTTATAATTATCGTCTGAATGGCTTTATTTATGTTCAATTATGTAAATTTACGTGATTTGATGTAATGAACAAACTGAAATAATTGGAATAATCTATCACATGCATGGAAAGAATTAGTATCACTAACACTATCATCATAATTAATCTTTGGTTTCTTGGTGGTGTGGTGGTGAGGTGATGGGTTTATTATTGGTTTACAGGGTAAGCAACACCTGCAAACAAAACAGCATAAATCGAAATCTGAGATGAAAAAATCCAGTGGACTGCTTGAAAAATTTATTGGGCCTGCTTCTGCTTCCACTTCGTCTCAAGGTTCATTTTACAGTGACAAAGACAATGTTACAGCTGCTGAGCTAGCCTTAACATATCACACTGTTAAGCATAATTTGTCCTACAATAGTATGGACTGCACAGTTAAGTTAAATAAAATTATATATGTTAATTCAAGCACAGCCACAAGTATTCGTCTAGCTAGGACCAAAATGGAAGCAATAGTTACAGAGGTGTTGGGTCCATATGCTTTACAAAATGTAATAGATGATTTGAATTCAAATAATTTATATTTCTGCTTGCAAACGGATGCTTCCAACAAGAAAAATATAAAACTTTTCCCTTTGGTTGTGCAATATTTTACAGCCAAAAATGGCATTCAAAGTAAATTAATTGATTTCTATGAAAACAGCAATAAATCAGCTGATGGCATGTTTCATGCAATTGAGAAGTCAATAGAGCAATGCAAGTTATCTTTTAGTAATATATCTGGGCTAAGTGCAGACAATACAAATGCAAATTTTGGAATTAACCACTCATTATTTACAAACATTAGAGATTTGGTGCCGGACTTGATCAAGGGAAATTGTCATGCTCATATAGTGCACAATTGCATGAAACATGCCATGAACTTTTTGTCCTATGACATTGAGAATATTATCCTTAAAATCTATGCTCATTTTTCCCACTCGGCTGTTCGGAGAGAAGAATTTAAAAAAATCATAGAATCGGTCGATGGGGATTTTCATGAACTCAAACGCCATGTCGGAACTAGATGACTCTCTCTTCTACCGTGTATAGATAGTATATTGTTAAATTGGAGAGCAATTAGAAATTATTTTGTGAGCCTAGGAGAAGACTGCCCAATGATTATACAAAATTTATTATTGCTGAATACCACTGATAATCATGACTTGATTGATGTTTACTTCAATTTTTGTAGCCATATTTTAAATGTGTTTACTAAAACTGTAAAATTCTTAGAAGGGAATAACATAACAATTTTGGATGTATACAATATTATGCACAATCTTAGGAAAGAATTAAAGAAAAGAAAAGAAGATCTCTTTTTTGGAAGAAACTGGAAAAAAGATTAAACAAATCGAGATGTCCTCGCCTGAAGTTAGTCAAAAAATTCATAGAAACTTTATATTGTTCTTAGACAAAGCCTTAATGTACCTGGATAAATGGTTCGATTTCAATCACACAAATTATCTCTTTTCACTGAGCAACATAAATTTAAAAAGTGATGTTGAGTATCAACACTTTTCTCACTTAGTAGAAACTTTGAAACTGCAAAAACTTAATATTAACCCTTAAATTGACGTAGTATGCCCCAACATACATCAACTTTGAAAAAATATATTGTTAAAGGAAATAATAAAATGACGTGGATTAATTTTTCACCAACTTGCAACACTAACTATTTTTGGTAGGAAATATAAAACAGATACCTGGCAACACTTATTTTGACATAAGTGGAAGAAAATGGCGACCCGTCGGCCGGCTGCTGTTCTCTCCAAGGTATTTATATTATTTTATTAATTAATACAAGGTTTAGGAAAAATTAAATGACTGAATTCTATGCTTGATATTATGATAATATAATTTCAATAACAAGTTTGAAGTTTTTACGTCTTGAAATGGTTTTATTTTGGGTACTAACATGAAGTATGCTGTGACATACATTGCCAAGTTTGCAGTAAAAGACCCCTAAAACAATTTGTATGTCATGGCATACATTGCCAGTTCTGGGGATATGCTTTGCTTACTTTATGTTTTAGCATTTCTTTTTCTTTGTCTGCAGCAAAAGCTTGAAACTCGTGGTGGTAGAATTTTAGCGCTTGTCCCTGCTCATAATGCACCTTCTGACGATAGTGAACCTTCCGATATTGAAGATGAGATACGTGTGCACACTCCGCTTTCTATGTCCAGTTCTTCTGCACCCTCAATTGAAAGCTCCTTAGAAAGACTAAACCTTTTAAATGATGAACAAGAACCCACTAACGACAATGTTTGCCTTACACCCATTTTCCAAACTGTTTATTCCAGCCCATCTCTAGAACCGAATTGTAATAAAGTACCAATATTGAGTGACATCCCATCATTTCCCACAACACCTGCGTCACCTGTGACTCCTGCTACTCCCACAAATTCTGCAACAGCTTCAGTTCTTGCACGCTCTGCATCTCTTTGTTTTGAAACACCACGCATGCCAGAGAATGCCTCCTCCACATCACTTTTTTTCCAGAAGAACAAGATCACAACGTCCTACTATTAGTGTTGCTCAACGACCTAGACGAATTCAAAAGTTCACTCAGAGCTATCGTTGGAAAAAAGCTGTGTTTCGTCATTTGGCTACTATAGAAGAGGAATAGATCCTATCGGTGACGCCACTATCCAAACCCCCCTGGAATATTTCTGTAAGTTTTTTTCTCCTGATATTTTGACACACATTCTGGAACAATCAAATGCTTATGCAGTGTCTAAAACTGGACGTACACTAGGTTTGACTGAAGACGAATTGCGAGACTTTATAGCTATACATATCATAATGGGTGTTGTGAGCATGCCATCTTACACTGACTATTGGAGTTTGCGATACAGGCACAAACTAGTGGCTGATCTGATGCCACTAAAACGCTATCAACAGATACGTCGCTATTTACATTTCGTTGACAATTACAATATCGAAGATTCTGATAGATATTATAAAATTAGGCCGTTGGTGCAAAAAATAAGAGAAAATTGTTTAGCTCAAGAAAATGAGAGGAGGTTTAGTATTGATGAGATGATGATCCCATATAAAGGGACAAAAGCGGGCAAGCGTCGTCAATACATGAAAGACAAACCAAATAAGTGGGGATTTAAAAACTATGTACGCGCTGGAGTGTCTGGCATGATATATGATTTTATCTTGTATGGAGGAGAGGATACATTTAGATTCCATACTTTTAGCGAACAAGAAGCCTCTATCGGATTTGGAGCGCAAGTGGTGATCGCTTTGTGCAAAACTATAAAATCTAAACCAGCTTTTGTATTCTGTGATAACTTTTTTAGCTGCCCAGAGTTATTTTACATACTTAGAGAAGAGTATGGGATCTTTGGACTGGGAACCATCAGAAACAACAGGTTGCGAGGTGCAGAAGCAAGTCTGCCTTCAGAAAAAGAAATGAAGAAGAAACCCCGGGGTAGTCATGCTCAAGCCACTTGCAACAAAAACCGCCTGGCCGTAGTACGTTGGCATGATAACAAAGCAGTGACATTGATAAGTTCCTATGTAGGCGTTGAACCAGTAGCTACAATAAAAAGGTACTGCAAGGACTCTAAAACTAAAGTTGACGTTCAATGTCCGCAAATAGTGAAGGAGTACAACAAGCACATGGGAGGGGTTGACTTGGCCGATATGCTTATATCTTTATATAGAACCCCGTTCAAGACAAGGAGATGGTATATTGGCATATTTGCCCAACTCCTGGATATATGCATAAATAACGCATGGCTTCTCCACAGTAAGGATTCAAAGTCAAAATCTATGCCTCTGAAGGACTTTAGATTCGAGTTGTACGAGGGTCTAACAAAATACCAACGTTCCGAAAATGGTATCAAAGGCACAAAAAAACGAGTACCACAAGCTAGTCCTGTGGAAACGTCACGGTATGATAACGTTGGTCATTTTATGACCATGACCACCCAAGGACGATGTCGACTGTGCTCCAAACTAACTGTTGTACAATGCTTGAAGTGCCAAGTCCGACTCTGTTTTGTTACTGGTAAAAATTCTCGTAATTGTCAACTGCAATACCACGTACCAACGTAATTTTTGGTCATTTAAATTCCTTTTTGCACTAATAAACATTTATTTGTATAATAATGGTGTTTTTGTTTTAAATACTTAATAAGTCCGGTAATTGGTACTGTATGTCCCTACATACCACTCATTTACAGTATGTAGTTTTGAGAAGTTGGCAGTGTATGTTGTGGCATACATGAGTTTTCAGGAAAAGCGAGCTTTTCAGATTTTTTCTGAAATTTTTCTGCAACAGTTTTAGATGTGTTTATTATTTTTTTAATAAAAAAAACAGTTTTTATCACATTTTTTCTATGCCAAATTAAGGGTTAACATGGATGACCTGTATGAAGAAGTTTCTTTATTAAAAGAGTTATATGCACAAGTTAATCATTCTAAAGATTTTTTGGAATTATCTACATCACAGAAGTGGCAAAAAATTTTTCAAAGTAGTAATGATTTCGTAAATATATATAAAATCGTGTCATTTCTGCTATCCATTCCTGCCACTTCAGAATTTACAGAGAGAGTTTTTTCTCTGATGAATGCTAAGTGGCGGGACGAACGAAACAGAGCGTCCCTAAATTTAATAAAAAACGAATTATTTATATATTTCAATCTAAACATAGATTGTAAAGATGCGGTTAAGACGTTCTTTGATAATAAATATTTGCTAGATGTTGCCAGAAGTAACAAAAAATATGTATGGAAAAAAATAGCAGTTTAAATAAATAATACTTTATTTTCAGATCTTGTACTTTATTTTTTTACCTTAAAAAGTAAATATACTCTATTTCCTAAAAAAAAGGTGGCAACCCTACTGATTATTGTGACTGATTTACCATATAATAAACCACTAAAATACTAAAACTACTACATAAAATCCTGTGTATAGCGCCCGAAAGTCTATTGTAGAATATACAACGTGGGTAAACTTGTAACTAGGTACTTAGAAACTAAAAAATCTATGCTAGGTTGCTATTAATTGTGCTGTAGAATCAGTTTAGATTATACCCTTATGCAGTATAATTAACTTTGATTAACCTAATTTGTGCCCATGTTTAAGTATATGACTATTTAAGGAAGAATTAGTTTCCAATCTTTTGCTCCCACCTACATATTGAAAAAAAAATGAAAAATTGTTTATTACTAAAAAGTATTTTACATTATGGTTATACCCTAGATCCTACACTAGGATTCCCTGTGTTGTAGGACCTAGGCTCTGCGATCCGTTTATATAAAATAAAAATAAAAAAAACTTAATTCTAGTACTTAAAACCTAAACTAGAACAATCAACATAATTTGTGTGTGTGTGTGTGTGTGTGTGTGTGTGTGTGTGTGTGTGAGGGGTGTGTGTGTGAGGGGGGTGTGTGTGTGTGGTGTGGTGTATGTGTTGTGTGTGTGTGTGTGTGTGTGTGTTTGTTTTGTTTTGTTTATATTAAAAAAAAAGTTTCATCTGAGAACCATTATTTAAATTTAAAGTAATTATTGTTTCTTTTATTTTCTTTTCCCTTACGTTCCATACTTTAGACACTATAACTCATTCCCTTCTTAGTAAATTTTCCTGTCTTTCTTTTTGCAGTTTTTTTTGCTGTTCTTTTTCCTTTATTTCAGTGTTTTTACTACTGCATACCTGCCAGCATGATGACCCGGGCAAAGGAAATGGAAAGCAAATTGAGGGCACCGCTTAAGGAACTGGAGTCATCCAAACTTCTTTGTGACCGACTGCTGCAGGAGCGGGACGACAGTGAAGTGGAAGTGAAGAACATTATTACGAGGGGCGTTCAATGTATTCTCGGTATAGGCATGAAAGAAAACTCGGAAAATTTTGGAAAAAATCTATTTTTCAATGTAGTCCCCAAGACCCTCAATACATTTGTTAGATCGAGGAATCAGCTTCTTTAAGCCTTGTAAAAAATATTATTCTGATTTCTCCTCAAAATGGGTAATAATTGCTACCCTTCAGTTCATCATCGTCGAAAAATCACTTTCCACGAAGATCTTTCTTCAAATTCGGGATAGGTAGTAATCACTGGGGGCCAAGTCTGGGCTGTACGGAGGATGATTAATTTCTTCGAAGCCACAGTCCCGTACAGCAGCCTTCGCCACGCGGGCCGTGTGAACCGGCGCGTTGTCATGAAGCAGCAACACCCCCGCTGTGAGTTTTCCTCGCCTGTTTTCTTTAATTGCTTCCCTTAAATTACGCAAAGTGGTTGCGTATGATGCTGCTGTGATGCTTTCACCTTTTTTAGTGTATTCTATTAATACAATACCTTTAGAATCCCAAAAGACCGTGGCCATTATTTTTCCGGCGGAAGGCGTGACTTTGAACTTCTTCGGAGGCTGTGCACCATTTTTAACCCACTGCATGGACTCCTGTTTACTCTCAGGGTCATAGTGATGAACCCACGTCCCATCTCTAGTAACCAGCCGGTCGAAAATACTCGATGGATCTTCTCCACAGAGCTCTAAAAACTCCTTACAGCACTCGACTCGCACTTGTTTCTGAGGCGCGGTGAGCATTCTCGGCACCCATCTTGCACTGACCTTTGAGAGATTAAGATGGTTCTGAAGGATTGCATGTATGGTACCCACAGATAGGTTAATCATCTCTGCTAACATCCCGATTTTTATTCTGGTATCTTCAAGTACCAATTTCTCCACTTTTTTAACATTTTCTTCAGTGAGGGCGCTTAGGGCCCCACCCGAGCGAGGGTCGTCTTCAATGCTTTCTCTGCCTCTTTTAAATTCACTTGACCACTTTTGAACAGTAGATAACGACGGGGCAGAGTCTTGGTAAACAGCAACCATCTCTTCGTGAATGGTTTTTTGACTTTTTCCCTGCTTAGTGAGGAACTTTATAACAGCGCGATGATCGATTTTCTTAATTATTTTAGCGTCAGTCATTCTGATCGTCTTTCACTGCAGATAATTAGAAAACCAATTAACGTAAATAAGTGAAATTTAATATTTATACCCTCATATAGTGTCATTAGTAAATGAGATAATTAGATTACCCACATTATTAGCAAATCACCCCGATACCGATAATACATTGAACGCCCCTCGTAATAAGAATACCAAACTCAAAAATGAATTGGCTGAACTACATGTATGTCACACAGACCTGCTAGACCAGCATACTAGATTATTTAATGAAATAGAGAAATATTTATAAATGATTTATTCCAAAAGTAAGTCGGCCCAACTAGAAATAAAAAAAAATATGGTTGAAGCCGGCAAGCTTGTAGATTTAGTAACATACAGTGCTGAACGATATGAGTCCCTTGCAAATAATCTGTCATGTAGCTGTTCCCATGCCCCAGAGCCGGAGCTTATGAATCAAGTCCTTAAAATAACACAAGATATAATAAAATATAACACTTGTGTATTTACTGACTCAATGGGCATAGGTATTGGATCTCTTATTTCAAACAGCTTACATCATAATTGTGGTATAACTAACTACTGTTACCACAACATAAAATTTTGTGAGTTGCTTAACAAAATAGCCCAGGGACATATCACAAGACATCGTACTCGTACTTACTACAACTCACGACGACGACTACAAGATCACGATTAATAATAATCAGTAAGTATAAATTCAGCACTATTCTGAATATCATTAAAAGTTTTGGCTATTGATGTTGAATTTTAAACGATTATTTGTTTTGTTTTACAGATAAAGAATGGGGTCTGCTTTTAACCAGGTAAAGTCTTAGTCCAATATTTGCAATTTATACCAAATTCTTTAAATAAGCAAATTCAAGTGACTATTTTATCTACAGGTTTTGTTTATCCATACATGAACCCGTAATGATCAAAGGATTACTCACGCCTGTGATATGACGATGATTAAAATTCTTAATAATAATTGTACCTACTGAGGCAAGTAGATACCTACTAACATTGCAAGGCATGGAACTGTGGAATGTTTTGGGATTTGGGCAATACCTACTAATGAGTGCTTGGGTTGATTGATATTTGATTGTCGTGAATACAATCTGCGTGTAATCTGCTAATTAAGTTCTTTCGTTTTTTAAGTATAATTTTTATTTTTTAGATTTGCCGACTGCGTTCGGCGGCTGGGGCGCTGGCGCGGCGCAACGTGCACCCCGGACCACGAGTAAGTAGTACTGATTTATTAGTAAATAGTCGTGAGATACTTGCAGAAAATACATATTGTGAAAATTTTCTTTAAATGCCTTATAAATATATCATGACTTGTTCTAAACATGGTTTTAAAAAGCATTTTTACTTAATAATGTAAATTTTGTTTATATCAAATTCCAGTTCAGCTACAAATGTGATCATGTTAATCCATGTATGGTTTAAATGCTTTTTTTTTTCAGAAACAGACCCCTGCTCCAGCCTACTGCAGCAGGAGAGATTGTGTATTGTTTACTGTTTAACAAGTAAACAATAGTCAGGGTTCCAGTTTGTAATAAGAACAGTATTATCACACTAACTTATTATATAGAATAGGGCTAGAATGATGTAATGATGTAGTAGGTAATAAATTAAAACAAAAAAAGAATTGACCAGTATTTCCAAATCCAATATGAATAGATGTTTTACTTCATCTTGAGATCAGGCCACGATGTTATGATTTAGATATGTTAACTTCATCACTTCATTAAAAAAATATTTTACAGCTCGAGAGTAGAGCGAGAGCAGACCGCAGCTGCGGAGCGCCGTCAAAGGGCGGTACAAAACATGGCGCAACTGCGCTTGTATCAGCGCCTCGCTCTGCCGGAGCTCCGCGTGGAGCCGCGGCGCAATGGCGCGAGATAGTGGCTGCCCGAGAAAGAGAAAGCCTCCACCGCCGCGCCTTAAATTAAGGGAGCTCTACGCGAGCTTCTAGCTTTCAAGTCTTGTCGAACTCCCAGGTGAGTTTGACAAGACTGGACTCAAGGAATTGGACTCGTGTAGAGCTCCCTAATTATTAAAATGAACTTTAAAAATAATGTGTTTTTTTGGCATTCCGACTCTCCGGAAATAATTGACTGCACGGTTGGCGCAGTGGCTGGGCAACAGGCTGCTGTGGAAAGAAAGAAAGAAAGAAAGAAAAATAATTTATTTGGCATGAACAATTCGAAAAAAAAACAAAGATATGTACAAAAATTACAATAAAAAAAAAGGTAAACAACAAACTAAAACAACAATGTTAGCTTAGGAACTAAAATAAATATGTAAAAAAAAAAAGTGCTTAAACAACTAAAAATTTAAGCATAACAAGAGAACAGCATACCCATGCCAAAAGGGTTGCCATCTCAGTATAAGTTGGGCTCAATAAGAACCCAACACTGGTTTTCAGTTGGCACCCTTGCAGTGACGTACGGACGGAAGCAACATAAATCTAAAAAAAATTATACAATTCATGGAAATTTGTAAATTAAGAGAGAGGAAAAAGGAAAAATATAAATAATATTAATAAAATAAAAATAAACCCAATTAAAATATTACATATCATAAGCGATTAGCAAACCGTCAATATAAAAAAAAAACATAAAAAACAGAAAGAAATTATATCAGTAGTGTGTTGGTGAGTTTGTAAGTGATCGCGGAGTTATCAAAATTCGTGCAAAATGTCATTATGTTGGTGAAACGAGTAATGGGTGTGGAATGTAACAAATCGATAATTGACCGAAGACATTGAAGGAAATAAAGGTAAGTTTTATGTCAAATAGAATAAGAATTAAATAAAAGAAATGTCAATACCGATTCCCTCACTGCCGATTTGTGACTTAATAATGAAGTCTTTAAGCTTCACATTAAAACTATGCACACTTTGCAGGTTTCTGATTGGCGGAGGGATGTTATTCCAGCATTTGGTCGCTGCATATCGGAAACTTCCTCGAAAAGCAGCCGATTTGTGTTGCGGTATGGCCAGCTGTTGTGCGCACCGTCTACCCTCTCGCTGCCTATGAGCATTAACCCACGAGAGCCTCGAGTAAAGGTATGCCGGACACTTGTATTTGATGATGCCAAAGAGGAGACATGCAAGATGAAGCTTACGTCGTGATTTCATCTTTAAAAGGCTGTGTTTGTTTAAGTAAGGTGTAACATGGTGTCCTGGAGGTATTTTAAATCAGAAACGTGCACAAGCATTCTGGACCCTTTTAACCGTTCAGTCCGTGCAAACAGTCTAGGACCAATGACCGTATCAGCGTAGTTCAGCTTAGACAAAACCAACGACTCAACCAACTGCACACGCAACTCCTCACTTAAATACGGTCGCATTTTATATAGTACCTTAAGGCGGTAAAAGCAATTTGCGATGTGAGACTCAAACCTAAGATTTTGATCCATGACAAGTCCCAGATTTCTCGCCTCATAGACACGCTCAATAACTTGTCCCCCAAGTCGCACACCAGCACTGTTAGATGGTATCTTATACAGCTGTTGTTTCATCATCATCATCATCATCATCAGCCCTTTTCAGTCCACTGCTGGACATAGGCCTCTCCTATTGCACGCCACTGGGATCGATCTTCGGCCACTCGCATCCAGCTCCTGCCAGCCATCTTGCGCAAATCATCACTCCACCTTGCCTGAGGACGTCCTACATTACGTTTGCCGAGACGCGGTCTCCACTCAAGAACTCGTCTACGTCAACAGCTGTTGTTTAGTTCCAATTATCATGTATTTAGTCTTGGATGGGTTTAATATGAGGCAGTTACTATTTGACCAATCAACTATCCTATCGAGGTCCTCATTAATATATTTAATTGCATTTATATACTCCACTGGTTTAAAAGAAAAATAAATTTGAATATCGTCAGCGTATACGTGGTATTTACATTTTTTTATTATTTTTGCGATGTCGGCACAATACAAGAGGAATAGTGTAGGCCCCAAAATGGATCCTTGAGGAACGCCCTTGGTCACTGGCTTTACTGCCGACGTCATGGCGGAGCCATCAGTATTGCAAATTTCAACCAGTTGGGCCCGATTACTAAGGTAGCTGTCGAACCATTTTATTGTTTGGATGTCAAAACCATAGTAAGCCATTTTGGAGAGCAATAGAGGCAAATTGATAGCATCAAATGCCCTGGAAAAGTCCAGTAGGACCAAAATAGTGCACATACCCTCATCCTGCGCGGCAAGTATGTTATCAGTAACGTCCAACAAAGCCGTTGCCGTACTGCGCCTCCTTCTAAAACCAGACTGGAGTTCTGGCAGGATTAGGTTATCCTCGAGGAACTTCGACAATTGCTGGTTTACCACCCTTTCTAAAACCTTGGACAGTAAGGGTAAAATACTTATTGGCCTCAAATCTTTGAGACTGCTGGGGTTATTCACCTTCGGTAGAGGACGTACTTTAGCTAACTTCCAGACGTCTGGAAAAGTTGTAGTAGATATTGAGGTATTTATAATATACGTCAAGACATCCAAAGTTTGCGGAATAGTTAAAACAAACATATTAAGCGTTATTTGGTCACAACCCTCAGCATTCGATTTGAGGCTTGTTAATATTTGTAAGATGTTTATGCTGTCGGTAGCTTTAAGTGAAAACACACAGTCTGTAAACCTATGAAATTCAAAGAAGGTGCTATGTGACAAGGGAGCGGTGGCATTGCCAGGGACATTCAAAAAATGGTCATTTATTTTAGTTGGATCATCAAAATGTGCGGGTAGTTCCATGTCAAACTTTTTAGGTAACAAAGTAGACTTTAAATTTTTCCAGAGACGTTTCGGTTGCTTTATGTTATTATTAATATTAGCCCTAAAGTAAGCCACTTTTTCAAAATAAATTGATTTGTTAACCAAGCTCTTTAGATCCAGATAATATTGTTTTTTATGGATTAATGACTTATGGCTGAGATAATCTTTATAGGCTTTGTCTCGGAGGCTCATCATAAGTTTTACATTATCCGTGATCCAGGGATATGATCTATCCCTCACCACAATATTCTTACGAGGTGCAAATGTGTCGAACAACCACAACAATTTGCTGGACAGGTAATGTACCATACAGTTAACGTCACCCGAAGTCATTACCTCATGCCAGTCGATCGTGTCCAAAGTTTCTCTGAATTTTTCAAAGTTCATGTTTTTGATGCTTCTACAAATTACGTGTATAGGTTTCCGTTTTTCTCTTTTAATGCAAAATGTAGAAGTTATAAACGCATGAGCACCAAGAGCCACTATTGGATCCACGGTGACGTCGGTGACTCCTGCATCAGTACACACCAAATCTATAAGACTCGAGTTGTTGGTCGAGAAATGTGTTGGAGTTTTCACCAACTGGCTTAGGTTAACGCAGTCTAAAAATATACGCAGTTTATTTAATTTGCAGTCAGTTGAGGACATATCCAAACAATTAATATTAAAATCGCCCAACAACACAGTGTGGTCGCAAAATGTAACCGAATTGACAGAGGACGTTAGTGCGTCCAAAAACTTGTCCACATCCAGCCACGGCGGTCTATATGCGGTCCCTATTGCTAATTTAATGCCGTTAAGGTTCAACACAAGCCACATTTGCTCGATAGCCGTATGTAAAGGATCAGTAGGGTGGGAATGCGCCCGCACATTAATGCCACATTTAACATAAAACCCAACACCGCCGCCGCGGCCGCCGCGCACGCTCAGCGGACGCGGAACATGCCGCAGCCGGTAACCAGGAACCGACGGCGCTCGCCCCTCCTCACCCGCCCTGAGCCATGTCTCATTTACGGCCATAATGTCAACGTCATGGCGCTCCATTGCGGCTATAAACTCGTCATGGTTTGTACCTAACGACCCGGCGTTAAGAAGTCCAATCTTAAATAGTTTTTTCAATGTCATGTTAAATAGTGTGTATATATGGGAACAAGCGTAAACATACAAGAGTAGCGAGGATAAACGTAAACAAGATTAATTGTATATATCAGACAAATTAAGACAAAAGTAATAAAATAAATATGCAAATGGGAACAGTCAAGAAAAAAGACATGTTTTTTATTTGTGACAATTAAAAGCACGTCAGCCTGGAAGTCAGTACATGCCGCGCCACTGCAAGAAATACCAACTGCAACCCCAGTCCATACATAGACCGACGATATCTCGGATTGTATATAAAACATAACACTAATAATAATAAAAAATATGCGAATCCTAAGTGCGATCGAAATAACAAAGTTAATACTATATGGATAATGAATAACAATGTGAACCAAACATACATGTACAACAGCAAAAATCAAACTACGACGTCTCCAAAAATTTTTTTTAAGTCTGCTTCCGATCGGACCCGCTGAGCAGAGACGCCGTCCTCTTTCCGCACGTATATGCGTCCTTCTTTCGTCCACACATACCTATAGTGAAGACGCTGCCCCATCTCGCGAGCAACATGAAAGAGCCTCGCGTTAGAGCGAGTCAAATTCTCATTGACGAAAATTTTTTGCGGCCGTCCGGGTAGTTCGAGGTCTGTAGTGGTGAGACCGCGGCGCACGCGCGCTGCTCGAATCAGTTGATCGCGCACCGTACGGCGCGAGAGGCGCACCGCTATGGCACGCGGCCGCGGTCGTTCCGCCAAGTCGCCCTCCGATGAACCGGCAACGAAGTTCCGACGTACCATGCCCAGGCGCTCGACATGCACTATATCCCTGTCGTCGAGGGCAATGCCAAGTTTTAGTGACACAGCCTTAATTAAATGCGTCGGGTTTTCGACCCCTGCCTCCGGTATGCCAGACATGATGACGTCGTTAAGCAGCAGATCCTGATCGCGCTCATTCAGCTGCACCTTCAAATCAGCAATCGTCTGCTCCAAATGGTCATACGAAGACGGGCCCTTGGCTTCAAACCGCTGCTCGAGGTCAGTGACCCTACTCTCCACCTCGGACATGCGCTCGTT